TCAATTACTCCAAGACTAACCTTTTTTACCTAGACAAAACTTCTTCAAAAGGCAACCTCCTAGCTAACTAGCTCAACTGCACCTCTAGTTCCCTTTCCTTTATCTACCCGGGCCTCCCTCTCAAGAGAGGATCCATCTCTAAACATGAATGTCAACCTTTTTTAAACTCCTATTCTAGCAAGCTATCTAGGTTAAAGAACAAAACCCTATCCATTGGGGGGAAGACTCACTCTTCTTAACTCAGTCCTAACTTCTCTCCCTCTCTACTATGTCTTTCTTTAAGTTACCCTCATGGCTTATTAAGGCGATTGATAAGATCAGGAGAAATTTTCTTTGGAGTGGCTCCCAGTAGACTTCTGATATCAAATGTCTCGTCAAATGGGATTTGCTATGCAAATCTAAAAAAGAAGGTGGCCTTGGTGTCTCTAACCTCTCCACTTTCAACCAAGCCCCCCTCTAGAAATGGCTTTGGAACACCCTTGACCGCAAATCCTTCTCCAGCAAAGTAATCAATTCATTGTACTCTAAACATCAATCTAACCCTATATGTACACCTCCTAAAGGACCAGTTTCTAAATTTATGCATGATTTACATTCTATTCATCATAATTTTTCCAGTCTAGTTCAATGGAATCTCGGAGATGGAACCACCATCAGGTTTTAGGAGGACAAGTGGACGAGCGATAACTCCCTCATAAGTGTTTGGTTCAAAAGTCGCTACTGTGGAATTCATTATAACTTTGTTCGATTACAACAAATTCGAAAGAATAATCTTTTTATAAGACTTTTTCTACACAACAAAACAAAAATTACAACTCTTGAGAAACAAACACGAAAATCGTCTATCAATTTTCGTTTTCGTGGGACTTTGCCTGTGCCGGGAACGCTTTGGTTCGTGGACCGCCGATTCACAGATCGTGAAGAGGGGGCTTATGATTCTAACTTCGTTATCGAAGTAGAAATTGAAACGATATCTTATCGAAGTAAGATAGTCGTTCTTCTTAAAATCAAGTCGAAGCTTAATTTCAAGGCGTTGCAAGAAAAGAACCCAAATCTCTGCTCTCTCTGCTCTGGAATGCTCTAACAAATGCTCGATCCTCGTCAGAAGTGACCCTAGGGGGGTATTTATAGCCTCAAGGGTCAGTAACTGCAAAAACTTAACAATCGAAGAAGTCAGTACGGCGAGACAGTGTTTACTGTCTCGCTGGGCGAGACAACGTTTGCTGTCTCGACCCGCGAGACAGTAAATTTGCTGTCTCGCTCAGCGAGACAGTAAATGCTGTCTCGGAAAATGGCAGTTTCTCGCTGTAACTGTTCTCTCACGTTTCAAACTCCGTTATTTTGGCAGTTATCCACGTGATTTTCGCCCATGATGTTTCCCACGTCCCTTGGCAGTTAATGGACACGTGTAGGGCAGTTACAAATGTAGTTTTGACTATTTCAACACTGTCTCGCTGGCGAGACAGCAAAGACTGTCTCGCTGGCGAGACAGTTCATACTTGTTTTGATTTTTCCAAAACAGTATGAAATCCTTTCTTGTGAATTTTTGAGTGATCTTCTCTATGCTTGGGATATCTATTAGCATTTTTTGACGCCTACAGATACCCCCTCCAAAGTATTCCAGACTCATTCTTTTATAGAGGAGCATGGGATACTTTGGATAAGATAGATTTTACTTACGATCCCTTCAATGCTTGGCTGAATAGATCGTATGAAAGGACTTGTAAATGGCTTCAATGTTTAACCTCTTCTGCTGTTAGTCTATCCAGTTCTTCGTAGAATAGCTAACGTTCTCCCGGCGTCGCGTTTATCGCTTGACCGTTGTCGAGATCTTGAATTGAAGTTGATACTTGCTCTTGTGAATTCAGCGTTTACCATTGAATTGGTATATCCATTGAGAATTCCTCAGGTTATCCTTAAGAATATTCAGATTAATATTCTCCAGAAACTTCCTGTTGAGGGTGGGAATACAGTTTAGACTCGTGTACCCATTGGAGTATTCCACTGTTCCATAGTGCAAAACAGAAAAGTTTACTGTCTCGCTCGGCGAGACAGTGTTTTCTGTCTCGCTCGGCGAGACAGAGTTGTCTGTCTCGCTCAGCGAGACAGAGTTTCCTGTCTCGCCCGGCTGCTATATAAGTCGGGACTTAGGGTTTTTAGGGTTTTTCACGTCGATTTTCTGGCGATTTTTAGGCGATTCTTGGGCGATTTTCAACCAGTTTTCTTCTATTTCTTCTCCTCTTTGTTTCCGACTTGGGAGGTGCTCTTGTTTGGGAAGATTTCACTCAGATTTCAAAGGTTTGTTCTTCCCCTTTTCTCCAAAATTTTGATTCTCCTTCAACTGTGACTGTGCATGCATCATTTCGGTTGTATTTGTCCTATTTTTTGTCGATTTCATGTTCAAAATCTTAACCTTCCTCTTGGATTTCAATGTAGATCACATACTCATCATGTCGCCACGTAGAGCTCGAGGAACCCGAAGCCGTAGATCACATCCTCATCATGTCGCCACGTAGAGCTCGAGGGAAGGGAATCCGACCGACTGTTCAGAGCCCTGAGGAGGCTGCCCCTGCTGCACCCTCACGTGGAGGTATATTTCTTTCACCTTTTCACGAATTTAAATACTGTATTTCGTAAATTCCATATATATATGCACCTGTATTTGTTTGCAGATCCTCGTTTGTATCCTTTGAGGTACCTTTGAGAAGAGCCGGTATCCTCCTTTGAGGGGATCGACGCTTAAAAGTGTTTGTTTTGCTTGGACAAAACGCACTTCATAATACACAGGGGCGATTTTACATCATCCCATATGTATTGAAAGGTTTTGGTATGCCGTTATAATGCCCGCATACCTCCTTTATACATATGGTGGATAGAAAATCGTCACACCTGTTATGAGATAACGACTATATCTTATAGAATGAGATATACCGTTTTTTCTCTAAAATCTTAGGATGACACTTACACCATTTATGTGTATGCCTCTTTTATCAGTCCGATTTCCTTCTACCACATTTACTGCTGATGTGATTACTGGCCGGAGTAGCGTGACCCACTCTTATTACGAGGGGATCCCGTTAATTGAATTCTCTCCCCAGTTTAAATCTGATTATAACGGAAGTGATAGTGAATTAATCCAGCGAGGTAGTTGTCGTGTTCTACGACGATTAATCACAGATGCGCCCTTGATCTCGGAGCAAGACTCGAATCAATGCATAAGGAAGCCAGATTTCTTATTTGGTGACTCGGTAAAAGATCCGAAGATTGCTTTCTGCCAGCCTGCGCAATGGTTGCACCAGAGTGGATCATCATTCTTATATCTGCCTTTTATCCCTCGGGATCATTCACTGTTAATGTTCAGGAACCTATCAGTTGGACGAGAGATGTTCTGGAAATTAACCGAAAACCACGAGCACATTCATTGTGGTTTCATTGGAAAGGAAGCAACTCCAGGTTCCAGTGAAAGAGCTCATGTGAGAGGACTTCATCCGGGTGTCTTAGGACAAGACAATATTCCTCAGAACGAAAAGATAGTGCAAGCCAACACTGTGAAGAACCGGTTAGCGGCAGCAGGAAAAAGATTGCCCAGAGAGACTTTCAGGTGTTATGGATGGGTCCATTATTCTGGGAACAAGTGGTGGTGGACCAGGATGACCCAATATGTGTTGAAACGTTTTGGGCGAGAATTAGCAGGATTAGGGTTGGATGTCCCGATTCGTGCCACCATGCATGGCTTGCAGAGCAGTGTAAGTCATTTCCTTTGTTTGTTCGAGATCTACAACCCGGACACCAATACATTCTTTACCAAGAACGGGGAACTTGGACTACCACTGCATGAAATGATGCAAGTGTCTGCTTTGCCTATGGGCGATGTCCCATATCAAGAGTTCTTTCCGACCACCAATCAGCTGATTAAGATGAAAGATAGCTCGACTGCGACCTATGACACTCTATGGGAATTGACCTGTCATTATCATATAGCCATGGCCGAGATGGAGCCCAAAGCCAGAAAGAAGTCTCCTCAAGTCAGTTTAAAACAATTCGCTGATTATCTCTTCAAGAACCTGGATGTCCGTTCGGCAGATGTGTGCGGATTGTCTCCCTTGAGTACGGATGAAATTAACCGTTTGTTAGAGAAAACCAACGCGCATTCTTATACTTCGCGCTCAGAAGATGGATTTTTGCACGGCACTAAGTTCCGCTCTTATCTGTGGCAAGCTGGTGTTCCGATTAGCCCTACTGCTCTGCTGGCGGGTTTTCTAGCCTTATGGTTAAAGAGATGTGTAGTTCCCCATCAATCCGCAGATGCGATGCCAATGGAAGTGTTGTATCCGGCCGTCCAGCTGGCTACAGGTCGCAAATTATCTTTGCTTCCCGCTATGGTGGCCGATATTCATAGTGGATTGCGGCAACTAATCTCCGCATTTACCCAGGAGAAAAAGAAACCTTCCGCCAGCCTGTCCGTTCCGAAGCTGGAGCTGCCCTATACTTACTTAATGGCCTGGTTGGTACTTCATCGACCAGATTTAATGGAGGCTCCTGATACGGTAGATCTCAGTGTCCCTCTGTTGCAAAATCTCGAGAATTGCAAATGGAGCAAACATCGAGAGCCGGACATAACGAGGCAGTTTAAAATTCACAAATGTTGGGAATTTTTTCCTTGCTTCCCTCAGTTCTCCGGTACTTACAACACTACCTTAGTGGATGCTGAAGACCCAAGGCAGAATCGTACCATCTTGGATGTCGGGTGCTTCAGATGGTTGATGAATATTCGACCTGGATATCTGTTGTTCAGGATAAGGGATGTTTGCCACATCGAACCCTATCTTCCATGTCGATTCGCCCGTCAGTTCGGGTATGATCAGATATACATCGGCAACCCGAATCGTCACCTCAGCTTTCGAGGTGGACTTATCGACGGGGCGAGAGCTTGGTTTTGGAGCATTGCCGGCTGCACCAATGTTGAATTTGATCTCCCCTTAGAGACGCCGCCTCTACGGATGACTTTCCTCTTTTGTAAATGGCTGATAGCCACCAATATTGTCACTCGACGTAGGAGGATATCAGACTCAGAGGAAGAAATAGCTCCACGGCAAGCAGCAGAACTGCCTCGCGAAGCTGTGATGTCGCCTCGAGGAAAAGAGGCTGCTGAATCATCAAGGAAAGGAAAGGAACCGGCTCGCTCAGTCGGTAGTGAAGAAGAATTTGACTCTGAGGAGACGGAGACTTCCGAGGAGGCGGGTGAGACTAGCTCAAGTTCTGATGAAAGAGCGGGTCTTTCTGATTCTTTCTTTGAAAGAGGACTTGTGTGCCCATCTGTTGCTCCTACTCAATCACAAGCTACTTCGAGAAAACGGGGAGAGAGGGTCGTCATGACCTATCCTAATCGGATGACGGTAGACATTCTCAGTGGGGACGAAGAGGATGAAGAGGATGAAGTGCCTCTTGCTCGTCGACAAAGATCACGACCTCCCACTCAAGCTCAAACCCAAATTCCTCCTCGAACTGAATTACGCACCAAACGTCGTCACGAAGGTCCTGAAGCACATCCACCGAAGAAACAAAAGAAAGCTGCTTCTAAACCGCGCGTTCATCTTTCTGCCGTAGAAGATATCTCTGGTCGTAATGTTTCTTCTGATGAACTAGGTAATTATTTATTTTTATCTCTCTTACATTTTTTTTTAATGCTCGAACTCATTTCATTTCCAATTTCTGTAGAGAGTCAAGAAGAGGGAGAATATCGAGTTGGAGCTGCTTCTCCTGGAGGTATGGAGACTGAGGAGACCAGCTTCGTCCAGCAAATGCAAGATGTTCTGAAAGAAGGACCAGCTGACGTTCCACCCACTCCTGACGTTGATCCATCAGCTGCGGACACAGGTACTGATCTTTCTCCTCTCGGAAGAGAAATCCGAGAAATGAATGAGTCGGACCGTGTGCCTCCTCTAATGACCTGTGCGCTTTCTCTCCTTTTAGTCAAATTAAAAGAAGCAGGTACCAGTAGTGGAGCTCTCGAATCAGCCCCGACCAACGAAGGTAAAATTAATTGTCTTTTTGAGCAAATTCGTCTAAATTTATGTGTCATTTACGACTCAACACATTTTGTAGATGTCACAATGCACGAATCTGTTGGAGGAGAGACCACGCATACAACAGAGGTCGAGGAATTCAATGAACATCACCTCGATTTCAATCTCTCTGAAGGCGACCATGAGTATATCTCCGACTTACTATCGGGGAAAACTCCTGGTGCAGCCACGGAATCCAACGTTGGAGTCGGTCCAACAGAAGCAGGTCCTTCTGAAAGTAAGACCTTTATTCTGTAAACTCCATATATGCATACATATATATTTTAACTTGATTAACCATATAAGTATTTGAATTATAGGACCAGTTGCTGGAACTGATACTACTATAATCATTGGTACGTCTGATCGACTGGAGAGTAGTGAACTTGTGCCGTGGACAAGAACCGAAGTTGATTTGCAATCATCAGTTCTTGAACCTCAACCTTCTACTCCTATGGACCCCATGATGATAGAAGTCACTGTCACTCCCCAGATTAGTCCAGTTGCAACAAAAGCGAGACCAACTGAAGAAGTTGGTACATCGGCCGATGTTGTGACTAGAATTGGTGAGTTTCATTTATCGTTTGTTTCAAGCTCGGATTATCATTATGCTCATTGTAATCCTCCTGTTTGTAGAATCTCCTCTTAAAGAGTCTCTTAGTTTGGACCCGCCGTCCTCTGAGACTTTAGTTGAAAAAGTCCCTGATGTAGCGGGTGCATCAACAGCTACCATTCCTGAACCAATCTTGACTGTTCAGGAATCCAGATTATCATCCTTGAGCGAACCAAGTCATGCTGAAGGTTCTTCCGTCGAATTTGGTATGCTTTAGTTTGTTGTCTTGTATGCATATATATATACTGTACTGACTGTGCGAACGCGGCGGAGGGGGCGGTGAACGGCGGTTTCGAAGGCGGAGCGGTTGGGTTGGGTGGTGCGGACGAAGAGAGAACAAGAGAGAGGAGAGAGATGAAGGAGGTGATGAGGTTTGGCTGCTCACGTGAAAAGAAGAGAAAGAAAAAGTTATATATAGAGAGTAGGCTAGGGTTAGGTACATTTAGGGAAACAATTTGAAAAGGAGGAGGTTGAGTTGTCAAATTATGAGAGGGAGAGAGAAAAAGGAAAGTAGGAGAGGGAGAATTACGGGAGTAAATAGGAAATAGTTAAATGATGATTAGGGAAATGATTAAGGCTGATTGATTGAGAAATAAATTAGGGAAAAATATGGAAGGAATTCAATTCAAATCAGAGGAAAAAAAATAAGAGAGGGAAAGTATTTATTTATTTACTTATTCATAATATTTAAAAATAATCCTTATAATAATAATTAACCATATAATAATATTAATAAATAATTAACAGCTAAATATTTATATATATATTTACATATGTATTAATATACTAAGCTCAGGTTTACATTAATAATAGCAAGGTCACTAATAATATTAGCTACTAAAAGATTATATATAAAAAATCACTAAACCGTAAATTAATATTTAGCAGAATTAAAAATACAAGACTATATATTTTATTATTTATTTATTTTGAAAACTCAAAAAATTCTTGAAATTAGAAAAAGTATTAATAAAATATAATATATTATTTTAAATACTAGAAAAAATATTTTAAATACATATCAAAATTCACGGTTGTTACATCCTACCCCCCTTAAAACAAATTCCGTCCTCGGAATTAAATCCAAGGACAGATATGGGACGATATCCATAAACAAAGGAGACAAGAAACAATGAACAGTGGAAAGTTACGAGACAAGAAATAGTGGAAAGATCCGGAGTCAAAAGTGATAAGGTAGGGATGAAAGGAAATCTATTTAGGAAATGGGATAAGGCTCATGAATAGTCTCACGGATGAAGTATGATATGTATCTAAATTGTCTACCATATTCTTACTAGTGAGGACTCGGGACCGTGACCTGCATGGGCCACCAAAAAAAACCTGTCACGCCCCGCTTCCCAAAATACCAGGGAATCGGGACGCGAGTAAGCCCGCGACGTATTAGACTGAGGAGCGATAAGTGCTAGACCCCGTCTTCTCAATCTAATACGCTAAGCGTCTGGAAATAAAAACAACGCGAAGTCATAGGTCCCCGATCACAAACAGCAAGAATATAATAGACAAACTGAGAACAAAAAGATACATATCACAAATGAATATCATCCAAGACATAATGTTCGGGTCAAACATGCCCTTATACATATTGAACAAATGAAATACTAGAGAGATAAAATACAGAGATACAAAATACATCAATCAGGCGAAAAGATAGAAAGAACTACAAAAGTAAGGTAAGACCATCGAACAACTGGAGGGACCAAAACTAAGCTTCAGCTTCTTCTTCTGCTCCATCCGCTAGGCACTCCTGCTGAGAATCCTCTAGCTCCTAATGATTTCCCAGCTGAACCTGTTCTTCCTTTAAGTCTGACGTACACCAGAGAAAACAGGTGTACGTCAGGTGCATGGCGCACGACAAGACCCGACTCCACAAAGAAATAGAACAAACGGAAATCCAATGCGAAAAACGATACGATAACAGAAACAACAAAAGAACGTACAACTAAAATCCACAAATCAATATGAAAACACTACTAAATCATGATAACATAAAGCATCCAGAATCGATCAGGTAACGAGATCATGTAGCTAGCGATCAGTCTAATCATCCAAGTAACAGGGGCATACAATAGATGGAATTAATACCTAAAAATCTACAACTCGAGACGTAGTACGTCGAGCGAAATAATCCAAACAAGGAAACCCTCATGTATATACCATATGTCTCGAATTGTAAATAATTAAATATTAATCCCGATCTATGTATAAAAAGAAACACAACTGGACTACTTCTCACAAGAATTCATACCTAGCTGAAACGATCCACTGGTGCGAGCCTGGAAAATACCAACAACCACGATATCAATGTTCCTCAGACCCACCCCAGAGTGAAACGATCCACTGGTGCGAGCCTGGAAAATAATCAACAACCACGATACACAATCACGATATCACTGCTCCTCAGACCCACCCCAGAGTGAAACGATCCACTGGTGCGAGCCTGGTAAATACATAAACATCCACATATCACTGCTCCTCAGACCCACCCCAGTGCGAAACGATTCACTGGTGCGAGCCTAAAAATAAACAATAATCTCAATATCACCGTTCCTCAGACCCACCCCAGTGCGAAACGATTCACTGGTGCGAGCCTAAAAATAAACAATAATCTCAATATCACCGTTCCTCAGACCCACCCCAGTGCGAAACGATTCACTGGTGCGAGCCTAGAAATAAACAATAAACACATCCGATAACACGAACCAAGACTTTCCCATCCCAAGTCCAAGTTAACAACTCATATCTCACGGGTCACTACGGTCAAGCCATACTCGTGATTCTCAACTATAACAGGGTATAATGCAATGAATACTATGTAAAAGTGTCATGAATCATTAACAGGAAACGTGAACAACTACTAATAACAGTGCAAGATGGAACTATAACTATCAAATAATTACACATGAAATGTCGCAATTTCCAATCGTCATGATCATAAATTGATTAATTCAAAGTAATCCCTTTTCCAAAAAAAATTCCCTTAAAATTATTTAACATTATAATTATTCAAAACTAACCCATTTTCGAAAATAAATTCTTCTAACTTATTTATTATTATAATAATTCAAATTAAACCATTTTTCCAAAATAAACTCTTTTTAAAAATTATTTCTCATAATGATAATTCTAATTAATCTAGAAAAACATTAATTTATCATTTGAAATTATTTAATGTCATCATCAACAGTCCCACGCAGATAATCATATTACAACTAATCTACACTTATAATTAATAATTATTGAAACAACAAAGAGAGGCGGGATCTTGCGATATCATTCTAGGTATGGATTGGCTATCATCCTATCATGTCAGTATTGACTGTTTTACTAAAACAGTCAGTTTGTAGGAATCCGATGGGTCTGAGTTGATCATAGCGACCTCATAGGGCAACCAGATTACAGAGTCATTTCCGACGTACATAGAGGAGGTGATGCTGAGAGACCAGAGTACTGATTTGGGTGAGACTAGAGTTGTCTCAGATTATCAGGATGTCTTTCAGGATATACCTAGGTTACCTCCCTAAGAGAGGTTGAGTTCTACATCGAGTTATAGCCGAGCACAACACCAATATCCCGAGCACCCTATCGTATGGCACCTGCTAAGATGACGGAGCTACAGACTCAGTTAGATGAGCTTTTATCTCAAGGATTTATTTGCCGAAATCAATCTCCATGGGGAGCTACAGTCCTTTTCATGAAGAAGAAGGACGACAATATGCGCCTATGTATAGATTATCGAGAGTTAAACAAGGTCACTATCCGGAACAGGTATCCACTATCCATGATTGATGATTTGTTCGACCAGCTACAGGGAGCGTAATATTTTTTGAAGATTGATCTTCATTATGGTTATCATCAGTTGCGGGTTCGGGAGATGGATATTCCCAAAACCTTCTTTCTGACTCGATATGGGTCATTTGAGTTTCTTGTCATGCTATTTGGGCTGACCAATGCACTCGCGGTATTCATAGATTTGATGAACCGGGATTTCTGTCCATACTTGGACTAATTCGTGATTGTTTTTATTAATGACATCCTTATAAATTTGAGATCGGAGGCAGTGCACGAGCAGCATCTTCGATTAGCTTTGCAGACTTTGTGGGAGTGTAGGCATATAAAATTGCTTATAGGTCCCTTAACACGGCTCAACACGAACCAATGAACCATCGGGCGACGTATCTAAGCACGATCGTTAGCCCATCAACACCGAAGCCAAACAACACGCAACGAAGCGGATTAACAAGGCTACGAAGCTGACGAACCGCACGTGAACGACGGAGGGAATCCGCTCGCGTGCTGAATCAAATCAACGGTCCAGAGAGTCAACGAGTCATCCAACCATATAACGGATTCGAACTCGGACACCAAAGCCGATTTACTGCCTAAATCGAGATCCAGACTTCCAAATCAGGAATCAAGTCAACGAATCGATTTCAGACCAATCAACCGCATAACCGAATCACGGACGAAGTGGATACAAGAACCGAAACAACCGAACGACGGACGCAAAACCCGGAGGGGCTCGGCCGAAACCACCGCGGTCTCGGCAGCGAGACCGCTGGCTCCCACTGTGGTCGCCAGCTTGTTTGGTTCAAAAGTCGCTGCTGTGGAATTCATTATAACTTTGTTCGATTACAACAAATTCGAAAGAATAATCTTTTTATAAGACTTTTTCTACACAACAAAACAAAAATTACAACTCTTGAGAAACAAACACGAAAATCGTCTATCAATTCTCGTTTTCGTGGGACTTTGCCTGTGCCGGGAACGCTTTGGTTCGTGGACCGCCGATTCACAGATCGTGAAGAGGGGGCTTATGATTCTAACTTCGTTATCGAAGTAGAAATTGAAACGATATCTTATCGAAGTAAGATAGTCGTTCTTCTTAAAATCAAGTCGAAGCTTAATTTCAAGGCGTTGCAAGAAAAGAACTCAAATCTCTGCTCTCTCTGCTCTGGAATGCTCTAACAAATGCTCGATCCTCGTCAGAAGTGACCCTAGGGGGGTATTTATAGCCTCAAGGGTCAGTAACTGCAAAAACTTAACAATCGAAGAAGTCAGTACGGCGAGACAGTGTTTACTGTCTCGCTGGGCGAGACAGCGTTTGCTGTCTCGACCCGCGAGACAGTAAATTTGCTGTCTCGCTCAGCGAGACAGTAAATGCTGTCTCGGAAAATGGCAGTTTCTCGCTGTAACTGT